TGGCTTAAGGAAATCACAAAGGCTACATGTCAGTAACAGACTAGTAACAGTGGGTTAGTATTTGGGAGAGAAATTTATTGAAAGCAAGATCACTGTAGCTGCCGCTTCCTTCTCTCATTACAAGTAGGTACAGCCCAGGAAAGTTTCTTCGCCTTTTGGGACATTACATTCTAAAAGGTAAAAATGGAATTTGTCTGATCTGAACTGGACACTATGCTCTAGTCAAAGTGTAATCAATAAGAGCCAAACTTATAGGTGTTAATGGATTGTGCAACATTTAGGCGTTTCTTAAAATATTTCTCATGGCTTCAGTGGTGATAAAACACAGGGCACAATACAGCGAAAGTTTAGCACTTTTATGCTCCACAGATTGAAGCATGCTTAACACATATTGAAATCAGTGAGACTAAAAAGGCCTAAATCCAGCTGCTAGTTCCAATTAGACCAGAGCCATAGAACCAATTGCTGAATAGTATGTCAACACATGGCCTAAATATCCTAAAGTCACCATATCCTGTCTGATCTTGGAAACTAAGCAGAGTCATTCCTGGCTAGTACCTGGATGAGAGGTATGAATGCCATGTGCTCTAGGTTATGTTTCAGAGGAAGGAAGTGACAAAAGCAGGTCAGTACTCTCTACCTAAGAAAACCCTATGAAATTTATGGGGTCACCATAAGTCAACAGGTGATTTGAAGACATATACATACACACACATATATATATACATAATACATATGTCAGTCTTGTTGATTCAATAGGTTTCCCTAGTTGGGACTAGCAATTGGATTTAGGCCAGTATATTTAGCTTTGGAGAGCCAGAATGGTACAGTGGTTTCAGTATTGGATGATGACTCTGCAGACCAGGGTTCAATTCCCTGATCAGCCATGAAAACCCACTGGGAGACTTTGGATGAATCACTCTCTCTCAGTCCCAGAATATCCCATGATAGGTTCACCATAAATTGTAAACAATATTTAGCTTTGGCTGGATTGCTCCAGCTTCTACTAATTACTCTGATGAAGATGAATACACTGATGAACTCTAACACTTATTGGAAATCTTTGCTGATACAATAAGAAAACAGAACAATACCCCCCAAATGACCCAGGGGTGCTAGAATGAATTTTGTAAGTTGACATTAGAAGGCTAAATAAAACTGGGGAATCTGACCAGGAATTAGCATACTGATGAGATGGCATGTGGCATATGAGTCAAATAATGCCATGTTGTTTGGGCTGCACATTAACTGAAAAATGAGCTTTGACTGTCTGGCATATTGAATGGGTTTCAGATGCAGTTAGGTACCACTGAAGTCAGAAGGTCTGAAGCTATATATGTCCTTTCACATTGCTTACGAGACTCAAATGCAACTACATCAGTCTGAACTTAAACTGTTAAGTACAGTGGAGACACTATTAAAAGAACTACAAATACATATGTAAAATATTTAGAAAGCATGTGATTAAATATTTAGAACAGGGAACTTTTGGCTCTCTAGATGTTCTTGAACTCCAAATGTCAGCACATCTGACCATGGTGGCTGGGGCTAGTAGAGTCCAATTATATCCACAAGAACAGAGGTTCACTATTCCTGAGCTAAAGGAACAGAAGTGTTGAGTTTTCAGTGTTGGTTGTCTGCTGATTATGGACTGTATTCTGGTTGGGAAATTTACATAAGATAGGAAATAGTGCAATCACTACATCAGTTTGAAATGGGGAAGAAAGTAAGTGAGAGTGGTGAGTAATGGATATGGAGTACGGTAAGTAAAAGCTGAAGGGTAACTCAAGAGAGCAGATAAGATGAATCTCAGACAGTTCAGGAAAGGATTTGTTACAAATGAGGGCCCTGAGGCAGAAGAAAGAGAAGAGGTAATTTGACAAATAAGGAGAAGTAAGCAGTACAATGGAAAGCACAGAAGTGAAGCCAAGAGAAGATAGAAAAATGTATACAAAAGTTACAGGAGTGGTGAAAAAGGAGATGAGAGGAGGCAAGGAGACAGATTATCAAGGGACATGGGAGGTGGGGAAGCTTTACATATGAATGATTTGGGTGATGAAGCTGACGTTTCTCTGGGATCTTAAATTGGACCTGTAAATAACATGGTCACATAATGGTTTGGAGAAGACCAGATATAAAACCATAACCAAAAGTACCCTTTGATAGAGTACCAGTAATGTGACACAATGAAATTTTCTCTTTGCCAGGGCATAGAACACGAAGAAATTCCAGGGGAAAAAATCACCATGGTTCTTCAAAGACTACAACCGAGCATTTGACTATATAGATCATGAAAAGCTATGGATGCTCTAAAGCTCACAGGAGTGCCACTACATCTTGATAATCCTGATGAGAAATCTGTACTTAGGATAAGATGCTACTGTTAGAACAGAATATGGAGAAAAAGAATGGTTTCCAATTGGAAAAGGGGTCAGGCAAGGATGCATTTTATCACCCTACCTGTTCAACCTGCACACAGAAAATATCACACAAAGACAGATTTAGACTCATAATAAGGAGAAGCGAAGATAGGAGGAAGGAATATTAACAATCTAAAATATGAGGTTGATACTATACTACTAGTGGAAAACACTGCAGACTTTGAACAATTACAGTCGGCCCTCCGTTTTCACAGGGGATCCGTTAGAACAGGGGTCAGCATACCTTTTTTTTGGGGGGGGGCGGTTCTGCTGTCCCCCAGATCGTCGGTGGGCTGAAGGGGGGGGGGAAATGGTACCCACCGTCGTGCACATGTGTGTGCAAGCGCGGGTGCCATTTTGGAACACAAAATGGCACCCCACGTCATGTGCACGCTAGAAAAGCGGCGACAGTGGCAGGACCGGCCACGGGCCGGTTCAAAGGCCTCGAGGGGCCGGGTTTGGCCCCCAAGCCGTAGTTTGCTGACCCCTGAACTAGAACTCTCCCTGTAAGCCAGGATGATGAAACTGTGGTTGTTGTACTTTGACCACATCATGAGAAATCACAACTCATATGAAAAGACAACAATGCTAGGAAAGGTGGAAAGCAGTAAAAAGAGAAGACCACACAAGAGATGGCTAGACTCAATCAGGGAGGTCACGGACATGAATCTATAAGACTTAAGCAGAGCAATGGAGGATGGGCTTGGAGATGTCTCATCCACAGGATCGCCATGGGTTGGGGCCAACTTGAGGCAACTAACAACAACAACAAGCCCATAAACCCTCACCACTTTTCTTCTATGAGCAAGAACTCATCAGTCCTAAAAAGTTGACCAGATTTGATAGATTATGACCAGATCAATGCATGTAGGTTGCTTTGCTGTGCAATTCTGCTCTTGTTTTCTTTACTCCCTACTGTATTAGACTATTCAGACTATTTTTCTTTTTACTGCTTCCTTGCAACCTGCCATTTTTAGGCAACAAAAACAAAGATACACTAAACTTGTGCTTCTAGTACAGGAATGGGAATTATGAGAGCTTCCAGTGCCCAGTGCTCCTCATGATTACCTATGCTTACTAAAGCTGGTGAGAATTGCAAGTTTGAGAACCTCTGGAGGGCCACACTTCAAGGCTAACATACAGGCCTCTTTTCTGTCCAAGGCTGCATCTACATTGCAGAAATAATGCAGTTTGACACTGCTTTAACTGCCATGGCTCAATGCTATGGAATCCTGGGATGTGGTTTGTTGTGGTGCCAGACCTCTTTGACAGATAAGACTAAATATCTCACAAAACTACAAATCTCAGAATTACATAGCATTGAGCCATGGCAGTTAAAGTGATGTCAAACTGCTTTATTTCTGCAGTGCAGATTCAGCCATAGTGTGTTAATAGTGCTAATCTCGATAAGAGCTCTAGGATACCTTCTTGAATTACAGCACTATCTAGAGCTCTGCAGCAAAGAATTCTGATTACTTTACCAAATTGTAAATTCCAGAACTCCATAGAATGGAGCAATTGTAATTAAAGTGACATAGAAATGTTGTAAGTCAGAATTGTGTACGCACAGCAGGCTGAAAATGGAGAAGTAGCTGGACTCAATTACAGCACAGATTACATGTAAGGAAATGGCGGGGGTGAACAACTACCTAAGAAAATCTGTGCTGAGTCAAATCATCTTGCCTGGCATTTCCTGTCAGTCTCTTCCCAAATTTCTGCAAATTTCCCTGTTTAGTCTTGGTACTAATGAAACACATAAAATTCTGTTTTAGGAAGATCTAAATGAATTTTTGCAGTGAGTAATTTTTGGAGACAGTGAGACTGTCATACAAATGAAACAATTCTCAATCGGCTTCCTGTCTTACCTTCCTGCTCCTCACTTCCTGTGAAGAAAACAGACTGTTCCAAGCAGTTTAGCATGAGCCATACCACTTCCTGCTAAAATTACTGACCTACACTGATACCTTGTCTGCAAAGAGAATTTTAAGACTTTTTGTGAGAAGGCATGTCATTTTGTTCCCAGCCCATGTAGATATGGGGGAATCAGTAAGAAACAAGGGGTGTAAGCAGGGGTTTTCTTCCCTAGTAAATACCTTGTTCTTCTTCTTGTTGTGTGACTTTGAGTCATTTCTGACTTATAGCAACCCTAAGGCAAAGCTATCATGGGGTTTTCTTGGCAAGTTTTTTCAGAGGGGGTTTGCCATGTCCATCCTCTGAGGCTGAGAGAGTGTGACATTCAGGTCATCCAGTGGGTTTCATGGCCAGGCCAGGATTCAGACCCTGGTCGTAGTTCAACACTCAAACCACTATACCTAGCTGGCTCTCAGCTGTGCCTGCAGCAGTACAATAGCAAACCACCCTTGAGAATCCCGTCAATAGAAAAACTATAAAATCCATGGGGTCTCCATATGTCAACAGGCAACCTGAAGGCACATCCATGGACAAACAGACACAGATCTGGGAGTAAATCTCATCCCACTGAGCCTAGTTGCATTCAGTTCAAGTAAACATTTATTTAATGATTAGTTGCATTTGTATCACACCTTTCCTCCAATGAAATCATGGTGGTGAACGGGGTTCTCCTCCTTCCTACTTTACCTTCAAAATAACCCTGTGAAGTAGGTCAACTGTTGAGGAATTTGTTTTACTACATGGTATATTATTTTAGTATTTTAATCTATCGTAGTTTTGTTCTTGATTTTGTTCCTTATATGTCTGATGTTCTGCTCTTTGGTGAAAAGAGTGTCATCAATCAATCTTTATTTACAGTCAATACACTTATCAATAAACATCATCATTGTTGTTGTCAAGTAGAGAACGAGTGATTAGCCTAAAGTGAGATATCTGGTTTCAGGGCTCAGTGGGAACTCAAACCTGGATCTCCCAGTCCCAGGTACCAGTTCAACCATTACTCCAAATTGGCTCTCGTGCCATCAGGCTTTATCCAATATGTCCATTAATTTATTTTCACATCTCTAATGGCAGTTTCAGTCTCTGATCTCTTCGGCTTTCCCTCCCTTTTCCTGGAAAGCTTCCCAGTTGTTCATTGCGAGTACCCTTTATAATTAAATAGATCTTTGATCCTAGGATAAAATTTAATTTTCGGCTGGAATTAAATCCTTGCTAGGATCCTATTTTCTCAAGAGTATCAACCACATGGCAAGCCTGAAGAAACTGGTGCCACTTAATGTCATCCATACTAAACTGTTCTCTAATATGTACGAACGCTACGTCTTTCTGAAAAGCTACTGCCAAGCCTCTTTTTCTCCCAGTTGGATCCATAATCCAGTGTATTTATAGCTTGGTTTACTCATTATAAATCATAGCTAACCAAGATGAGATGTATAAGCGCCTCCAGTCCTATGAATAAGGGAACTGCTGGGAATGTGTTACTGAGTCTCTAATGACAAACAAACCGGCTGCCAGCAGGTAAGAACTTTAATATTCTTAAATAATCTTAAATAATA